TTTCTTTTTTCATTTTTTCTTTTTATTTTTTTTTAAAGATGGGGTTTCACCATGTTGGTCAGGCTGGTCTAGAACTCCTGACCTCAGGTGATCCACCCGCCTTGGCCTCCAAAGTGCTTGGATTACAGGCATGAGCCACTACGCCCAGCCTACTAAGAGTACTTCAACAAAGTAAATATATATATATATATATGAAAAATACTTGGGCAGTTAAAAAAAAAACAGGATTTTTATTTTCTAATTATTCCTTGTTAGTAAGGGCCCTAAACCTAGATGTGTATATGCTGGTACAGACTAGACCATGAGACGAGAACAACCTAGAACAAAGCAAAAAGGAAGCTAGAATGAACCGATTATTCCCCAACTCACATTGTGAGGGGTTATCATTAGTTTCTTAGTGACCAATCTCAGCAAGGCAGTCATTGAAGAAACCTGTGAGTAACACTTGACATTCCCTCTTTTTCCCGTACCATAGCCAAACCCTGTAGGTTCTACTTCCAAGATTAAAAACAAATGCACTTTTCTGTATCATGCCTGTAACCACTTCAGTCTAACCGTTCGTCATCTCTTGCCTGGACCAGCCTTCCATTGCTCTCCCATTTTCCTTTACTCTATGTTTTCCCTGGATAGCAGCCAAAGGAATTTGTTTGTTTGTTTGTTTGAGACGAATTTTGCTGTTGTTACACAGGCTGGAGTGCAATGGCGCGATCTTGGCTCACTGCGACCTCCGCCTCCTGGGTTCAAGTAATTCTCCTGCCTCAGCCTCCCAAGTAGCTGGGACTACAGGCACGCACCACCATGCCCAGCTAATTTTTGTATTTTTAGTAGAGACAGGGTTTCACCTTGTTGATCAAGATGGTCTCGATCTCCTGACCTTGTGATCCACCTGCCTCGGCCTCCCAAAGTGCTGGTATTATAGGCCTGAGCCACTGCGCCCGGCTGAAGAATTTTTAAAAGCTGTCCAGTGGATCTCCTAATCCTTGCACTAAAAAAATCCTTCAGTGGCTTCCCAATACACTTGAGATACAATCCAAATTCCTAACATGACCTGCAAAGTCTCCATGACCTGGCCCCGGCCTCCCTCACTACTGTTCTTTACATACTGCTTTCTACCTCTCTCCTGCTCACTGGCTCTTTTTCAATTCTTCAAACCCACAGAATTGTTTGTTGCCTCAGGCCATGGTACTTGCTGCTCTCTCTGCTTAAAGTCTTTTTCCGTGTATTCTTTATCTAACTCATTTATCTTTCAAGTGACAGCCCAAAAATCACTACATCAGAAAGGACTTTCCTTGGTTCTCCAACATAAATTCAGGCTCCCTCTTCCACGCTTCCATCATACCAGTTATTTACTTTCACATAATGTCTAAGGGTATGTAATTACTTATTTGTATATATGTGTGCATATGTGTGTATTTGTATACTTTTTTGGTCTCCCTTTATACGCTCCCAGAGACACAAACGCTCTCCAGAGACACAAACCATCTCCCTTTGTCTATTACTGAATACCCAATGTTCAGCACAGCACTTAGCACAAGAAATATTTTTTTGAATGGATAAATGACCTTATAAGGTGAGTAACTCCTTACTAGAGACGAGGATACTAAGAGCCAAGCAACATTTTTTTTTTTTTTTTTTTGAGATAGAGTCTCACTGTCACCCAGGCTGGAGTGCGGTGGTGCCATCTCGGCTCACTGAAACCTTCGTCTCCTGGGCTCAAGCGATTCTCCATTCTCCTGCCTCCCGAGTAGCTGGGATTACAGGTGTGCCCCAACATGCCTAGCTAATTTGTATATTATTAGTAGAGAGGGGGTTTCACCATTGTTGGTCAGGCGGGTCTCGAACTCCTGACCTCATGATCTGCTCACCTCGGCCTCCCAAAGTACTGGGATTACAGGCATGAGCCACCGCACCCAGCCCCCAAGCAACTTTTAAGAACTGGATCAGTATTCTAATGTCTGGCTAGAAAGTACTAGAAAAAATTTTTTTGCCAGCATGGTCTGTTAGATTCTGAAGAATATGGTGGTAGATTAATACTGTCTAGACAAATATCATGATTTCTACTAGGTTTTTTCAGATGCCCACATAGGCATTCACATGTATATGCAGACTTATATTCTAAATGGTAAAATTTTCAAAGCTTGCTTTCTGGAAATAAAATATTTTCTGATTTTTATTTTATGTGGTTTTTTTTCCACTCAGCTACAATTCATGACCATTGGACACTACTCAGCTCATTGTTCTTTCACTAAGTCAGACACAATGACAGAACAAGCAAGGGGCCAAATGGACATTTTTTGCTGGGTCAGTGGAGGTGCTAGATTCAAACAATCATGCAATGACTTAATAACTAACTTTTCAGAATGTTTTCCCTAAAATAATTTTGTGAAACTCATTTCTAGTCACTGGAGGTAAAATTTCTTTCAAAATCTTTTATGTTAATTTTATTGCTATTTCTTCTATAGCACAGCCACATGATTTAAAAGGCCAGGTTTCCATGCAGGCTTTCATTATTTCACTGCCTTCAGTGAGAGCATGAGAATCTGCTTCGACCTTGAGAGCAGGCTGAAGTCAAATAAAAAGTAGATCTTGCCGGGCGCGGTGGCTCAAGCCTGTAATCCCAGCACTTTGGGAGGCCGAGGTGGGTGGATCGCGAGGTCGAGAGATCGAGACCATCCTGGTCAACATGGTGAAACCCCGTCTCTACTAAAAAATACAAAAAATTAGCTGGGCATGGTGGTACGTGCCTGTAATCCCAGCTACTCAGGAGGCTGAGGCAGGAGAATTGCCTGAACCCAGGAGGCGGAGGTTGCGGTGAGCCGAGATCGCGCCATTGCACTCCAGCCTGGGTAACAAGAGCGAAACTCCGTCTCAAACAAACAAACAAAAAAGTAGATCTTAATTGCACTGAGAATGTCTGTCACAGAGGATTTTTTTCTCTACTCTTGTAAGTTCAGTAACAGAGGGTTACAAATTAAATTGACAAATCACAGATAAACAGGAGAAAGGTTTATTTCATATACACATGGTGGGAGGGGGGCTCACAGAAAAGAAGTGAAAACCCCAAAAAGCAGTTAGGCCTGAGAGCTTATATATCTTTTTTTTTTTTTTAAGGGTGATAAATTGTGGAGAAGTGATAAGACAAATGACAAGGGTTGGGGCTTGTGAAGGTGGTAAACTGTGAGCAAGTAAACTATGTGAGGGAAACTACTGGAAGACAAGGGTTATTCGGCAAGGTTTGCCATAATGACTCAAGATTCTCCTCCTAGAATAGGATGGGGAGGAGGAACAACTTCACAAAGGGAAATTTTTATCGTGCTTTTAGGCAGAAATGGCAAAAGCAGAGTGCTTCTTTTGTTCTGCTGTTTCTTAATTGCCTTCAGCTCAAAATAATCCTTAGGCCAAAGTGGCATATTTTGGGGTAGCATATTCTGGATCTCCTTCAATGCCCAACAATCCCAAGGAAATGGAAAAGTGGGGAGGAAATAAATTATTTCGGGGGAAATCCCTTTTCAGGAACTAATTCTCAAATTTGGACCGCAGAAGTATTCTCTGAGACTCTCTAGGATTTTCTTTTCCCCCCGCCATTAAAAAGAAATTTGGTACGATATACACAAAACATAAAATTTACCATTTTAGCCATTTTGAAGTATAAACTTCAAGAATATCAAGTATATTCACATTGTTGTGCAACCATCACCACCATCTATCTCCAGACTATTTTCTTTTTTTTCCTTTTTTTTTTTTTTTTTTGAGACGCAGTTTCGCTCTTGTTACCCAGGCTGGAGTGCAATGGTGCGATCTCGGCTCACCGCAACCTCCGCCTCCTGGGTTCAGGCAATTCTCCCGCCTCAGCCTCCTGAGTAGCTGGGATTACAGGCACGTGCCACCATGCCCAGCTAATTTTTTGTATTTTTAGTAGAGACGGGGTCTCACCATGTTGACCAGGATGGTCTCGATCTCTTGACCTCGTGATCCACCCGCCTCGGCCTCCCAAAGTGCTGGGATTACAGGGTTGAGCCACCGTGCCCGGCTATGCTAACTTTTAGCAGCTTAGTTCTTCTGTTTTTGTACTTTATAAAAATGGACTTATGTCACGTGTACTTTTGTTGTCTTTTTACGCTGGGAGTTAAGTTTCTGCAGTTGATCCATGTCGTTGCTTGTAATTGCAGACGGTTCCTTGCGTTGCTGTATAGTGTTTCATTACATGAACCCGGTGCAAATTATTTCATTTATTCTGTTGTTGATGGTCTATTGGTTTATTCTCATTAAGGGATTATTACAATAAATGCAGCTATGAACATTCTGATTCCTGCCTGTCGGTGCACCCTAAGTACTCGTTTCTCTTTGCTGTGTATGGATGCGTGGAACTGCACGGCCATAGGGTATGCACCTTTTGCAGACAAAGCCTGTTGTTCAAAGGAGTTGCTCCAGTTTACATTCCAGCAGCAGAGTAGAAGAATGCAGTAACTCTACATCCTGGCCAACACTTGTTATTTTACACCTTTTTTTTTTTTCTATTCTATTTTATTTTGAAATATAAAAACAACTGCAGCAAAGTTAAGATTACTTTTACCGGACCTTTTCGTTTTTGGTTTGCTTCTCTGAATAATTAACCATCTCAGGCTTCTGTTTCGTCCAGCGAATTCCTGCAGGCTGTGTGAGTGCGTTTTCGACTTTGCTCGACATTTTTTGCTCACTCGACCACTTAAGATGTCATTTGGTCAAGAAAATAAGGTATGTTTCCGAAGCGGGGCAAACCCTTTGAGGACTCTGGAAGCCCGATTACTCTGTAGGCGAAACTCATACGGACAGTGTTCGGCCGATTTCTCTTTTCTAGAGTTCACGATCTGGGAGCTCCTGCTCGCCTGGGGTCTACCCACTGCCTTCCCCAGCTCCGTTGGAGGCGCCAGGAAAGCCGAGCAGCAGCCCGCCACCCGCCAGAACGGGGGCGGGGCGGGGCAGCGGGTCCGCGCAGAGCATGCGCAGACGAAGTCCGGCGCATGCTCCGCAGCGCGGCGAGCCCACAGATGAGGGGAGTCGAGGCTCCCGCGCCCCACCGCCCCCGGCGGAGCTGCTGCTGAGCCGCTCAATCTGAGCCCTGGCTACGAATAAAGTTCGTTAGAAAATCATAATCATTCTTAAGAAAGGGAAAGACGGTGCGAGCCAGTCGCGCGGCACCGCCGGGAGAGCTGGCGCGTCGGGAGGAGGCAGTGGCGGCAGCGGTTGCGCCGCGACCAGGAGGAGCCGGTGGCGCCGGGCGGCGGGTCCGCGGCCGGCGGGGGACGGTGAGTAGCGGCTCGCGCTGCGGTACAGCGGCGCTGCGCTCACTCGCCCTCTCCAGGGGGTTGGGGATTCGTCCGGCTTCGCTGGCGAAGAGCTCGCTTCTCCCCGGGGTCCTAGGCTGTGCCTTACTCTCCGAGTGGCCAGGGGTGTCGGGGGCAGGGGCCTCCAGGCCCGGCTCCCATCCCCTAGTTCGGACCGCCGAGCGCCCGCTCTCCCGCCCCTGAGCACGGATCCCAAGTTCCAGCTGGAGAAAGTGGGCGGCCGCGCCAGCCCGGCGCCCCCTCCCCGCTCCCAGCGGTCGGTACCTGGAATTGCCCCACGGACGGGAAAGGGGTGGAGCGGGGGCGGCGCTGCGTCCCCAGTCTGGCCGAGCGTTCGGCTTTTTGCCTGCCCCCGGTCCCGAATTGGGTAGGGGCGACCCAGGCCGGGCGAGAAACCAGGAAGGGCGTTAAGTGCTCAGGTTAGGTTTGAAGGCGAAGAGGGTCCTCAGCCCCACGTTGGCATTTAGACTCCTCTTCTCCTTGCAGTGGGACCCCGCTTTACCCGCGACCCCACCCTTCCCTAGTTCCTTGCTTAGAGAGTGCAGGAATATGGTTTGAACCAAATTGCACTATTCCATTGACACTGGTTGCTACAGAATTAACTTTACTCGGAGATCCGAGGAGCCATCGGCAGTTGCCAGGAGTAATAACTTCATTATCAGGAGCTAGTGAAGTGGCAGTAGGGCCTGAAAAGGGGTGTTAACTTCTCTAGGTTTTTATGTAACTCCTAACATCTAGGTAATTTCATTGACCCTAGGAAGTTTTTCAGTATTTTTACAAATATAACCGTACTTCTTAAAGGCTGTTATGAGAACACCTTTTTATTAGTGAGTTAACTCACCCTTTTCTAATTTATTAAACTGCATTAGCAAAATGTTAAAAGTTTTGGGAAAAGGGTGTTTATATAAAGCATTACTGTCAAGGTTTTTAATTGTACTCAGAATTATGTTTATTTCTAGGAAAGTAATTGTTTTGATCTAGTGGTTTAAGTCTATAGTGTCTGAAAAGCAAAAGTCTGTCTACCTGTTAAAATTTAATTTGGCTTTTTTCTTTTAAGGAAATTAATTTATTATTTAAAAAATGGTATGTTAAAATTTATCTTTTTTTCGGCATACATTTCTACGAATTTTAGATTCATCTAACCACTACAAAAAGGATGTAGAACAATTCCATCACCCCCCCCCCAACAAAAACCAAATGTGATCCCTCTATATCATATGCCTTACCCCTGGCAATTACTTTTTTCTAGAAATAGAATCATTAACAGTTGGTAATCTTTTGATATTACCTTTTTTTTTTCACTCAGCATAATGCCTTTAAGATTTCTCCAAATTGTTTCATGTATGGATAATTTCTTTTTTTATTGCTGAGTACTGTTTTATTATGTAGATATGCCACAGTTTGTTTCTACTTCTGCCCATTGAAGGACGTTTAGGTTTTCAGTTTTCTGTGATTGTGAATCGATTTGCTATATATACCGTGTACAGATTTTTATATGAACATGTTTTCATTTCTCTAGGGTACTGCTAGGAGTGGATTGCAGGGTCATATGGTAAATGTATGTTTAACTTCTGAAAGACGGTTAAACTGTTTTCTGGAGTGTGTCACTTTGCATTCCCGATTGCAGGGTCATATGGTAAATGTATGTTTAACTTCTGAAAGATGGTTAAACTGTTTTCTGGAGTGTGTGTCACTTTGCATTCCCACAAGCAACACGTGAGAGTTCTAGTTGCTCCACCTACTCCCAGCCTTTGCACCTACTCCCATTTGGTAGTGTCAGTATTTTAAATTTAGCCATTCTAATAGGTGTGTGGTGGTATCCCATTGTGGTTTTAATGTGCCTTTAACTAATTGCCAAAGATGTTGAATATTTTTTCATGTGTTCATTTGCCACATGGATTCTTTGGTGAAGTATCTGGCAAGTCTTTTGCCCATATTTAAATTGGGCTGTTGTCTTATGTTGAGTTTTGAGGGTTTTTTATATGTTTTGGATACAAATTATATTTCAGATACTTGTTTTTCAGGTATTTTGTTCCAGTCGGTCTTGTCTTTCCATTCTCTTAACAGGGTGTTTCAGACAGCAGTGTTTTTAATTTTGGTGAAGTCTAGTTTATCAATTTTTCCTTTTATGAATCTTCTAGTGTCATGTCTAAGAACTTTGCCCAACCCCAGGTCAGGATTTTCTCCTTTTAAAAAAATGTCTTGTAAAAGTTTTCCATTTAGATCTGTGATCCCTTTGAGTTGATTGTGTAAGGTGTGAAGGCTTACTTTTTTGCATATGGCTATCTAGTTGTTCCATCGCCATTTGTTGAAAACACTGTCTTTTCTCCATTGAATTGCTTTTGCACCTTTGTTAAAAATCAATTGGCCTTGTTCGTGAGGGTCTATTTTGGGCCTCTTTTCTTCCATTGATTTACTTAGCTTTCCCTTTGCCATTATCACACTTTGTTAATTTAGCATTATAATGTCTTAAAACTGGGTAGGGTAATTTCCTCCAGTTTTATTCTTTTTTCAAAATTACTTTAGCTATTTTGATTCTTTTACTTTTCTGTATGAAGTTTAGAATCAGCTTGTGGATACAGAAAAATTTTGCGGTGCTTTCATTGAAATTATATTAAACCCATAGATAAATTTAGGGAGAATTGCTGTGGTTACTTTGTTGAGTCTCCCAGTTCATGAACATGATACGATATGTGTTTCCATTTATTTCAGTCTTTGATTTGTTTAGTGTTTTATAGTTTTCAGCATACAGATTGTGTACATGTTTTGTTACATTTATACCTAAGTATTTAATATTTTGGAGCTATTATAAATTTCATTTTAAAAAGTATTGGTTTCAAATTGTACATTGTTTGTATATAGAAATACAATTGAATTTTGTGTGTTGTAAATAATGTCCTCTGACTTTGCTACACTCATTAGTCCAGGGTTTGCTTTTTAAATTTTTGGTAGATTCTTTGGGTTTTTCTACAGAGATAATCATGTCATTTGCGAAAAGAGAAAGTTTTGTTTATTCTTTTCCTAATCTGTGTTTTATTTTGTTTCCTATTTCACTGACTAGAACTTCATGTATCATGAATAGGAGTAGTAAGAATAGATAACCTTACATTGTTCCCAATCTGAAGGGAAAGCAATCTGTCTTCCAGAATTGAGTTTTATGTTACAGATGCCTTTTTTTTTTTTTTTTTTTTTTTTTTTTTTGAGGCAGAATCTCACTCTGTCACCCAGGCTGGAGTGCAGTGGCAAGATCTCAGCTCACTGCAATCTCCACCTCCCAAGTTCAGGCAATTCTTGTGCCTCAGTCTCCTGAGTAGCTGGGATTACAGGCAAGCAATCCCGCACCCAGTTAATTTTTTGTATTTTTAGTACAGATGGAGTTTTGCCATTTTGTTCAGGCCAGTCTTGAACTCCTGAACTCAGGCAATCTGCCCGCTGAGGCCTCCCAGAGTGCTTCCTCGGCCCCATACTGTTTCTAGTTTGCTCAGAGTTTTCTCACAAATAGATGTTGAATTTTGTCAAATATTTCTTCTACATCAGTTGATACTACGTTGTGTTTTTTTTCTTGAGTTTATTAATATGGTAGATTATATTGATTGCTTTTTGAGTATTTAACTAGCCTTGCATTCCCAGAATAAAGTCCACTTGGTTGCAGTTTATTATTGTCTTTAAACATTGCTGAATTCAATTTATTAATACTTTGCTGAAGATTTTTACGTCTTTGTTCAGAGAGTTTATTTGTTTAATTTTCTTTTTTATAGTGTCTTTTTGTGGTTTGGTATCAAGATAATGCTGCCTTCATAAAAAGAGTTGGGAAGTGTTTCCTTGTCTCTTCTGGAGGAGATTGTGTACCTTGGTGTTAATTTTTTAAATGTTTGGTAGAATTCTTCAGTGAAACTGCCTGTTGCTGTAGATTTCTGAGTTTTTACATTACAAATTCAGTTTCCTTCATAGTTATAGGAGTATTCAAATCACCTATATTATATTGGGTGAATTATGGTAGTTTATGCTTTTCAAAAATTTGGTTCATTTTGTCTATGTTGTCACATTTATGTGTATAGGGTTGTTACATTATACTTTTGAGTCTGCAGGGTCTATGTTGCTATCCCGTTTCATTCCCGGTATTGGATATTTGTATCTTATCTCTTTTTTGTATTAATCTCACTAAAGTATTGTTAAATTTATTGATCTCCTTAGAAAGCCAGCTTTTTGTTTCATCAATTTTTGTTTTCAATTTCACTTATTTCTGTTCTTTTTTAGTGTCTTTTCCTTTTTCACTTGCTTTGGGTTTATTTTGCTCTTCTAGTTCTTGAGGTGAGTGCTTAGATTACTGAGTTGAAACTTTTCTCCTTTTTTTTTTTTTTTTGGAGATGGAGTTTCGCTCTTGTTACCCAGGCTGGAGTGCAATGGCGCGATCTCGGCTCACCGCAACCTCCGCCTCCTGGGTTCAGGCAATTCTCCTGCCTCAGCCTCCTGAGTAGCTGGGATTACAGGCACGCACCACCATGCCCAGCTGATTTTTTTGTATTTTTAGTAGAGACGGGGTTTCACCATGTTGACCGGGATGGTCTCGATCTCTTGACCTTGTGATCCACCCGCCTCGGCCTCCCAAAGTGCTGGGATTACAGGCTTGAGCCACCGCGCCCGGCCCGAAACTTTTCTCCTTTTTTAAGGTAAGCATTTAGTGCTCTAAATTTTCGTATTTCAGGCCGGGCACAGTGGCTCATACCTGTAATCCCAGCACTTTGGGAGGCCCAGGTGAGCAGATCACCTGAGGCCGGGAGTTAGAGACCATCCTGACCAACATGGTAAAATTCTCTCTGCTAAAAATAGAAAAATTAGTTAGACCTGATGGTGGATGCCTGTAGTCCCAGCTATTTGGGAGGCTGAGGCAGGAGAATTGCTTGAACCTGGGAGGCCAAGGTTGCAGTGAGCCTAGATCACGCCACTTCACTCCAGTCTGTGTGACTGAAGGAGACTCTGTCTCAAAAATATATTTTCCCATTTCAGCACTACTTTAGCTATGCCCCACAAACTTTCACATGTATTTACATTTTGATTTAATTCTTTTTTTTAACTTTCTTTGTGACTATTTCTTTGACCCTTGGATTGTTTTAAAGTGTGTGCTTTTAGTTTTTGTCTGTAGATATACCTGTTTTATCTTTCTGTTACTGAGTTTTAGTTTGATTCCATTGTGAACAGTGAACACATTCTATATGATTTTCATTATTTTAAGTGTGTTTGAGACAGGAGTTGAGTAGGTCTGGTTCCACAAGATACAAGTCTTAAAGATGCCCACTGACAAAACAGGATGCATTAAAGAAGCTAGCCAAAACCAAGGTGGTCATGAAGGTCACCTCTGCTTGTCTTCACTGCTCATTATATGCTAACTATAATACTATTAAAGTAACTGCCACCAGCACCATGATGATTTATAAATGCCATGGCAAAGTCTGGAAGTTACCTTATATGGTCTGAAAGGGAAAGGAACCCTCAGTTCTGGGAATTCTCCATCCCTCTCCCAGAAAACTCAAGAATAATCCACCCCTTGTATAGCATATGTATTTAAAAAAAAACAAAAACATAAAAATAAGCAATCACCACCCCCTCAGGGCTGCTTTGTTTATGGAGTAGCCACTCTTTTATTCCTTTTACTTTCTTAATAAACTTGCTTTAACTTCACTCTGTCAGCTCACTCTTGAATTCCTTCTGCACAAAGCCAGATACCCACGTGGCCTCTTGGGCTGAACTCCAGTTTTGGGGTTTGCCCTGTGACATGTTGATGTTTGTTTTATGGCCCAGAATATGTTCTATCTGGGTACTTTAAATGACGTATACTGTGCTGTTGTATAGACAGTTCTACAAATATCAGTTAAATTCTGATTTTATTGTGTTTTTAGAATTTCATTTTGATTTCTGTCGTGTTTTTGAGTGTACCTGTTTGTATTACTGTTTTAGTGGTTGTTCTTGGTATTACATTATATACAGGCATGTATTGGTTAATGTTGGGGATGCACGTTGTGGTTTTGTCATTGTGTGAACATTCTAAAATGTACTTACACTAACCTAGATGGTATAGCCTACTACACATCTAGGCTGTATGCTATAGCTTATTGCTGCTAAGCCACAAATCTATATACTGTTACTGTATTGAATACTGTAGGTACTTAGAACATATTGGTAAGTATTTGTGTATCTAAATATATTTAAACATAGAAAAGGCACTGTAAACATATGGCATTGTAATATTAAGGGATCACTGTTGTACATGCAATCCATCATTGACCAAAATGTTATGTGGCACATGACTGTATATGTGATATATCACAGTAATTTATCATTGCAGTCAATATTTTACAAATTCAAGTGAAGTGCAGAACCCTTACCTCCCTTTATAGTCCTTTATCCTTCCCCATTTATAATTAATTGTTTTAAATATTCTCCCTACATATATTGAGCACTACCTTGGACAGTTGTATAATTTTTTTTCAACTATGAAATGTAATTTAGAACACTCAAGAGGAGAAGGGAAGTCTATTGCATTTAACAATATTTTTGCTCTTACCATGTTCTTTCTTTTGTTCTGATATTCCAAGTTTTTCTTTTTAAAAATTATTTTCTTTCTGCTTGAGAACTTCCTTTAGCTGTTCTTTTGCATTGGCCTGCTGTCAACTAATGTTCTGAGTTTTCCCTCATCAGAGATTACCTTGATTTCCTTTTCATTTCTAGAGAATATTTTTGTTGGATATATAATTTTGAGTTGACAGTTCTTTTCTTTCAACACTCAAAAAATGGTGTGCCACTTCCTTCTGGCCTCCATGGTTTCTGAGGGGATATTCACTGCCATTCAAATTACTTTTCCCCTAAAGGATATGCATTCTTTTTCTCTGGCTGCTTTCAAAATGTTTTGTCTTTAGTTTTCAGAAGTTTGACTTTGATTTGTTTAGGTCTAGATTTTGATTGGTTTATCCTGTTTGGGATTTACTCAGCTTTTGAATCTGTAGCTTTGTCTTTTTCCATATTTGGGAAATTTTCAGTCATTATTTCTTCAAGTTCTTTTTTAGCCCTATCTTCTTTGTCTTCTCCTCCTGGAACTCCAATGACAGAAATATGTGATGTTTTGTGGTTTAGTTTCACAAGTCCTGAAGCCTCTGTCCTTTATTTCAGTCTGTTTATTTGGCTTGGCTCAGACTGTTCTATGTTCAAGTTCAGTTAATTCTTTCTTTCCTCTCTGTTCTGCTGTTGAACCTGTCACTGAGTTTTTTTTTTTTTTATTATGGTTATTATAATTTTCAGTTCTACTTTACATTTGGTACTTCTTTATATCTTCTGTTTCCTTGATGAGACTCTAATTTTTTACATTTATTCAAGTGTATCTATAATTGCTCACTGACTGCCAGTTAACTTTTTATTTTTAAAATCCTTATTAGATAAATCTAATGTCTGCCATCTCATTGCTGGTGTCTATTGATTGTCTTTTGCATTCGGTTAAGATTTTCCTGGTTCTTGGTGTGCTGAGTGATTTTCGATGAAATCAGGACATTGGTAGTGTTGTGTTGTGATTCTCTGGTCTCATTTACATTCTCTTTTAGCTTGGTTCCTTTGATGTGCTCCCAAACGGGAAGGGTGGGGCACTACCTCTTTACTACCAGGTTAGGATAAAACTCCAGGTTTCCTGCTTGTCTTCCCATTGAAATTGAGAGTGGGCTGGGTGAGGTGGCTCCTGCCTGTAATCCCAGCACTTTGGGAGGCCAAGGCCTGCCGATCACTTGAGCCCAGGAGTTTGAGATGCCTGGCCAAAATGGCAAAACTTGGTCTCTACAAAAAAAAAATGCAAAAATTAGCCAGGCTTGGTGGTGTGTGCCTATAGTCCCAGCTGAGGTGGGAGGATTGCTTGTGCCCAGGAAGTTGAGGCTGCAGTGAGCTGTGTTCACACCACTGCACTGCAGCCTGGAGTGTAGAATGCGACCCTGTCTCAAAAGAGAGAGAGAAGAAAAGAAAGAAAAAGAAAGAAACTGAGAGTGGGAAGAGCTCCTCTTACTACTGGTCACCACTGGGGCCCACTGATACCACCTGGCTGGAAGGAGGAGTGGTACCTTGCGGTTCCCACTGACACTGCAGGGAGTCAGCAGATGGCATTATTAACTGTGAGAGATAGTAGAAGTCCTGGCGTTCTAATAGGCTTCATCTGACACCACCCCAGCAAGAAAGTGGATTACTGAATTGCTGGATGCGGTAGAAATTTGGGCTCCCACATGGTCTCCAGGGATGCCTTGGTGGTGGTTGGGCAGGGTGGGGGATGCTTTCATTTCTTCCCAGTGAGGATGAATGTCCTCCTCAGTTGGTCGTCTCTGACACACCCCATAGAGGGAGTTGGGGTGCATCAGTATAGCCCTCACTAGGGTATAGGTGTTTTCTATCTTTCCACTTGCTAGGCTGCCCCTTTCCTGGTCTTCTGACTTAAGAGTAGGCTTTTATGGTTTTTTGTTGTTGTTAGTAGTGGTGGTGGTGGTGATATTTCCTGGTTACCAGCTTCTCTATAATCCAGTCTGGGATATATGAGGTAAAAAGAACTCAAAGAAAACTCATTACCATGTTGTTCTTTGTGTCCCATGGTACTTTTCCACTTTTCAGTGTCTAATGTTTGTTTATATGTAATGTCCAAAATGTTTAGTTATACTTAGAGAAAGGAATAAGGACAAATGTCTATCATTTCAGAAGCAAAAGTGTCTGAAGTATATATCATTAAAAGGATAAAATGTAATAAGATTTTTGTTGATGCCTTTTTTTGAACCTAACAGTCTTCTTGGGTGAAGAATTGTTTAGGTAGAGAACAGAAGTTGCTTTCTAGGAACTGAACCAGTGTGAGATACAGCTAACTGGATGAACAAAGGTCAAATCCTGGTCAGAATTTTGTATTTGACCCTGTGTTCTAAAGACTATATCTTGTGTAGGGTAGTAGGATGGTGATACTTGATGTCTAGATTGTACGCTAGACCAGGGGTCCCCACTTCCCAGGCTATGGACTGGTAACTGTTCTGTGGCCTGTTAGGAACTGAGCTGCAAGGCAGGAGGTGAATGGCTGTGAGCATTACCCCACCTGAGCCTCTGTCAGATCTGCAGCAGCTTAGATTCTCATAGGAGCCCAAACCCTATTGTGAACTGCACATGTGAGGGATCTAGGTTGCAGCGTTCCTTATATCCTTATGAGAACTAATGCATGATGAGTTGAGGTAGAACAGTTTTATTCCCAAACCATCCCTCCACCGCCCATCCTCCCCGCCACCAACGTCCTGTCTGTGGAAGCTGTCTTCCACAAAAACCAGTCCCTGATGCGAAAATGGTTGGGAGCCGCTGCCCTACATCATCAGATCATATACTCAGAGGATAAGATGCAGGCATCAGGCATCAGTTGTTGGTGTTTTTGTTCTGTTTTGTTTTTTTGAGACAGGGTCTTGCTCTGTCACCTAAGCTGAAGTGCACTGGTGTAGCTCACTGCAGCCTTGAACTCCTGGGCTCAAACAGTCCTCCTGCCTTATCTTCTTGAGTAGCTGGGAATACAGGCTTGTGGCACCATGCCTGGCTAATTTTTTTTTTTTTTTTTTTTTTGTAGAGACAGGGTCTCACATGGTGCCCAGGCGGATCTTGAACTCCTGGCCTCAAGCAGTCCTCCTGCCTCAGCCTCCCAAAGCACTGGGATTACAGGTGTGAGCCACTGCCCCCCCAACCAAGTATTTTTAAAAAGTTTTCTAGATGATTCCAAGGTATAGCCAAAATTGAAAATCACTAGCCTAGGGTAATGGCTCTGACATTTATCTGACTGTAAAATTACTTGGGATGTGTGTCCATTTGGGTTTTCCAGGAAGCAAATATCAAGATGGAATTAGAAGTGTAAGAGATTTATTGGGGGAGATGCCTGAGAAGGACAAAGTGAATGGCATCTTTAAATAATCAGGCCTCAAATCTAATGACCCTACTCATCGTCTGGATGAAAGCAGATCTAGGTATTTATTAATATATGAATGCCATGCATTGTGCTATTGATGAGGATTCATTCAAAAATGAATTGTTTTATTGTTGTACCTTTCAAAGAATTTACATTATCTAAAAACAGTATGAGGGGCCTCATTTATGAAAACACATCCTTGTAATGCAATGTGATAATTTCTTGATAAGACAGTTTATTTTGTACATTTTTGTGTTATGAAAAAATTATTTCATTTTAAACCACAGATTTGTGCGGGAAGATCTGATCACCTGGAATTAGAGTTGGTACAGAAACCAATTCATCTCCAAAAATGTTGGAGGAAGATATGGAAGTCGCCATAAAGATGGTGGTTGTAGGGAATGGAGCAGTTGGAAAATCAAGTATGATTCAGCGATATTGCAAAGGCATTTTTACGAAAGACTACAAGAAAACCATTGGAGTAGATTTTTTGGAGCGACAAATTCAGTATGTACTTGGCCATTTTATTCCTTTGGCTTTGATTTGTGAACTACATCCAAGACTCATTGGAATAATAGTTAATTACAGTACCTTTCGAGGTGTGGCAACTAGTGGCAGTTCTCATGTGACAGTGATGGTGGTTTTCAGTTACTCGTTACATATGTAACTTTATCCTTTCTTTCTTTCATCTCTTCCCTTCCTCTTTCATTCCCCTTCCCATGTTTTTTTCTGTCTCATATCTGTTTTTTTTTTTTTTTTTTTTTTTTTTGAGACGGAGTTTCGCTCTTGTTACCCAGGCTGGAGTGCAATGGTGCGATCTCGGCTCACCGCAACCTCCGCCTCCTGGGTTCAGGCAATTCTCCTGCCTCAGCCTCCTGAGTAGCTTGGATTACAGGCATGTGCCACCATGCCCAGCTACTTTTTTGTATTTTTAGTAGAGACGGGGTTTCACCATATTGACCAGGATGGTCTCGATCTCTTGACCTCGTGATCGACCCACCTCGGCCTCCCAAAGTGCTGGGATTACAGGCTTGAGCCACCGCGCCCGGCCCTCATATCTGTTTTATGTTGGTGACATCTTGGGCATGTCTTAAACACAAACTGATGCTTGACTACAATGAGATTTCCAACTGCTATTTTCTTTGGAATGGGCTCTTATTTTATTAGAATCTCTCTTCTCTTTTTGAAACTAGGGAAGACTATATGGAAGTTAGAGAATTATAGTTTGCTTTTACTCTAAAGAAATAAGACAGAACAGATTTGGGAGGACTAAATTTGCCTAGGAAAAGGAAATCCTGCCGGGCACAGTGGCTCACGCCTGTAATCCCAGCACTTTGGGAGGCTGAGGCGGGTGGATCACCTGAGGTCAGGAGTTTGAGACCAGCTTGGCCAACATGGTGAAACTCCGTCTTTACTAAAAAGAGAAAAATTAGCTGAGCATGGTGGCTCATGACTGTAATCCCAGCTGCTCGGAAGGCTGAGGCAGGAGAATCGCTTGAACCCAAGAGGTGGAGGTTGCAGTGAACTGAGATCAGGCCATTGCACTCCAGCCTGGGTGACAAGAGTGAATCTTTGTCTCAAAAAAAAAAAAAAAAAAAAAAGAAAAGAAAAGGAAATCCTACTTTAGGAAATTCATTTGGATTCTAAAACACATTCAGGGTATTATTTTTTGTCATTAGTCCTGAGAACTTCTAAGGATATTTTAAATTGTAGCAGACAAACTAAAATGTATTACCCAAAGAAGAAGCATCACAAACCTGACTTACTGGCCCAACTTTCACATCAATGATAATTGTGTTTATCATTTTAAAGATTAATTTATATTTGTATTCTATTACACTCTTAAAATTATTTCCGTATTTGCTTCCTCTTAGAACATATTTTAAAAGCAAATATTTTAAGTCTTGATAATGTTTGCTTTTTGTACTTATTACCTGAAACCAAATAAATATTTTAAGTATATACTCTCTATATATATACTATATATATATTTATATATAGTATATATAAGTTGATCTTTATTACTTACAGATTCTGCATATTGAAGTTCACCCACTTGGTAATATTTATTTGTAACTTCAGAATCAGTATTTGGAGTGCACTTGTGGTCATTTTTGGACATACACAGAGCAGTAAAAAATTTAAGTTGCCCAGCATGCACTTTCCCAGCTGAGGTCATCAAACAAGTCTGCTTTCCTGTTTCAGCCCCTCATATAGTAAACACATGTCCTTTGTTCTGTTTAATGCCACATTTTTTACATTTTGTGCTTTTTCTTGGTGATTTTGCTGTTTAAGAAGGCTCCTAAGTGTCATCTGAAGTGCTGTCTAGCATTCCTAAGTACAGGAAGGTTATGATGTGACTTGTGGAGAAAACGGATACCTTAGATAAGCTTTGTTCAGACATGAGTTACAGTGCTGTTGGTCGTGAATTCAGTGTTAATGAATTAACAATATATATCAATAAGGTGTCTTTAAACAGAAACACACATAAAACAAGGTTACATATTGAGCAGTTGATGAAAATGTAACCAGGGATTCTCAAGAACCTAACGCTGTATTTCCCTTAGGAGCAGTGGTTCAGTATTTATTAATTCAGTGCTCACATTGACATTATAGAACATAACTACTCTGAATAATGAGAATTGACTACACGACAAAATAAAATTAAGTTTAAGGGCAACCAGGGATCCAGGGAAGTAAACTGCTTTTTTTTTTTGAGACAGAGTTTTGCTCTGTAGCCCAGGCTGGAGTGTAGTGGCGCAATCCTGGCTCACTGTAACCTCCGCCTCCCAGGTCCCGGGTTCAAGCAATTTTCCTGCCTCAGCATCCTGAGTAGCTGGCATTACAGGCACATGCCACAATGCCCAATTAATTTTTGTATTTTTAGTAGGGACAGGGTTTCACCATGTTGACCAGGCTGGTGTTAAACTCCTGACCTCGTGATCCGCCTGCCTTTGCCTCCCAGAGTGCTGGGATTACAGGGATGAGCCACCGCGCCTGGTCTTTTGTTTTTTTTTTTTTTGAGACAGAGTTTCACTCTGTCTCCCAGGCTGGAGTGCAGTGGTTCTCTGCCTCCCGGGCTCAAGCGATTCTCCCACTTCAACCTCCTGAATAGCTGGGACTACAAGGCATGTACCACCACATATGACTAATTTTTGTATTTTTGGTAAAGACGGGGTTTTGCCGTATTGGCCAGGCTGGTACTCAACTCCTGGCCTCAAGTAAGCCGCCCACCTCGGCCTCACAAAGTGCTGGGAATACAGGCGTGAGCCACCATGACTGGCAGTAAATTGCTTTTTTTTGCCTTCTTATTCTCATTTTATACAAAGGCACCAGAACCCTTTAGAATGATGTAGGGAAAGAAGAACAAGCACTGAGCTAAGGGAATTCCCCTTCCCAAAAATGTTAGTCTTAGACCACCACTACCTATGACTGTGTCACAGAAAAAAACATGGCAGATAAATCCAAATCATCGGGGGAGCTATAGTTTTGGGGAATATTTTTTACTCTTTTACTGTTGGTAATGATGTCAACATCTGACAGAGTTTTTCAGGGTGAAACTGACAGTTTACATGTGGTTCCCTGACTTATGGTTTGACTTACAATTTTTCAACTTTAGCATGGGTTTATTGAGACATAGCCCCATCATAAGTTGAGGAGCGTAAGGATTTATAATAGTTCAGTTTGTGTTTTTTGACTTACGGATATTTTTGACTACAATATTTTCAGTTTACAGTGGGCTTACCAGGAGTTATAGTGCTTGTAAACCAATGGGTTTATTGGGAAATAACCCATCGTAAGTCAAGGAACATTTGTGGTTTTAATATCTTTGGATTTGAAAACGAAAAATATACACAAAGCTATCTTACCAAAAACATTTTCCTTTACATGTGAAATAAATTCATCTCTTGTTTTAGAGTTAATGATGAAGATGTCAGACTAATGTTATGGGATACTGCAGGTCAAGAGGAATTTGATGCAATTACAAAGGCCTACTATCGAGGTAAAACACAGGATTGATTAATTGATTTTGTTTAGTTTTTTTTGCTTTCTTTGTTTCCCATATAAGGGTTTTTCTTGAAGAATTGTTAAAATAATTTCCAAGTATTTTTTAAAACCCCAGTTCATTATTATTCTAAAGATTTTGTATAGTGGCAAGTAACATCTGGTACCATAGACAGTTTGTCTGTGCCTTAGAATAATATGACTCATGTAGGCATTCCCAGACCAAATCAGAAAGAAACTGTTAAATGCCTACTTTGACCCGAAGAAAATGACTGTATAGTCAGAGAGTGGAAGCTAACATATGAAAAAGTAAAGCCCCAGCAAATAGGATGGCATATTGTTACGACATGTGAAATGGCATGGTAAAGCCTTTTCAGTGCTGTGGGAGTTCAGAGAAGTATGAGATACCTGTGAAAGGAAGGAACCATGACTGAAGAATTTAAGGCTCTAAAATATGGGCTGAAATTTCTTAAAAGGCTAAATGAAACTCCTGAATGGAACTTGAAAGTTTCCTTTAACATTTTCCTATAAAATTTTGCCCTTTTCTTTTGAAATTTAAACATCATTTTCAGTGTTCCCGTAACTCAGCTGCCAATAGTGACTGAAGTGAGAGAACACAATAACAAAAGCTTGATGGAATACCATATAGCATTATAGCCTGTTGATGGCAAGTAAATATTAATTGATCATTCATACTGACAGGTATTTAATACACTGCATTTCACAGATGCTGTGGGAGCTACAAAGGCACAGCTGGTATACTCATTATCCCTTCTATGACATCCGTCTTTTCTTAACCTTTCACTGTGTTGTAATTAAAATTTGTTTCCTAAAGACACAATTTCCCCTGCCGCCTTCTCTAAGGGAAGCTTTTTACCCCATCCCTGCCTACCCACATTCTACAGGACTTAAAGGATGTTGGGCAGAGGGTATCTTGTTTCTCACTGCTGCTTCCAAACCATTCCTCCTCTTTTCTCCTTCAAAAACCTGGGCACCTTGAAAGTCCAGGTCATGAGATTTTTACCCACCACTAATGCCCCTGCTTGCCATGGTCGATCGACTTCCTTTGTAGTCCATCACCTCCTTTCTGATTAACACTGGCCTCTGGCTCAGTTTCTTCATCACAATTGTTTGGGTTACTTTTTCAAAAGTCAGCCTGTTTCTTACTTCCTTGTTGTTTTCAAGGCCAACAATTGTTTCATTACTCCAAAATCTTAGCCTCTGTTGTCTCCCACTCACTGACCACTACTGCCTATGCTTGTGCTTGCTAATTTTAATACCCAGACTCTGTCATGAAACCATCAAGAGCTTCTCTGTTCATTGACCCTACCACTTTTTAAATACGACCTTCACATGGCTTTACTGCTTCTCTTCCTCAACTTAGTTTTTCTAGTCCTGTAAGCATTTGCTTGCAAGGACCTTTAACTCCCTCGCCTGAGCTCTCTGCATAATACTTGCTCAGCAAAATGCCCAATCCAGTTAAACCCAGCTGTCTACCAATCTGCATCCAAGCACCTGAACCATATAGAGAATATCAGACAACCATTCAGACTGAACTTTGAAGCTACCAGAACATAACCTTAATGAGTGCATAGTGCTGCCAGACACTCTCAGTATTCTTTTTTTTTTTTTTTTGAGACGGAGTTTCGCTCTTGTTACCCAGGCTGGAGTGCAATGGCGCGATCTCGGCTCACCGCAACCTCTGCCTCCTGGGTTCAGGCAATTCTCCTGCCTCAGCCTCCTGAGTAGCTCGGATTACAGGCATGTGCCACCATGCCCAGCTAATTTTTTGTATTTTTAGTAGAGACAGGGTTTCACCATATTGACCAGGATGGTCTCGATCTCTTGACCTCGTGATCCACCCACCTCGGCCTCCCAAAGTGCTGGGATTAACAGGCTTGAGCCACTGCGCCCGGCCCACTCTCAGTATTATTCTTTACTCAAGTCTCTGTCATTTTCCAAAATACCTCTTTTATGTTTTCTCTTGCCTTAACCTTGGGGATCCCTTCCTCCTCTCTACTCGGCTGATTTCTTTGCTTCACTCTTCTTTGAGAAAATAGATGAAATCAGTGAAAACTGTTTCATCCTTCTCATTACCAGATCACTTTCTTGGTTAAAACTCTTCAGCATCATATACACAGGACTTTACAATACAACTGTGTTTCTCCTTGTCTGCCAGCATCATCTGCCGATTCTTCACTTGTACTTCACCCTTGAGAAATCCCCCAGTTTTTTATTTCCTTTTACACTATGCCTGGAATGCTTTCTTGTTTTACTTAACCTTCTACCTTCAAGCTTAACAGCTCAGAAGTCTCTATGAAACTTTTTGTGGCTGTCATCTCTGAAAAGTTAATAATTTTTTAAGCTAATTCAGTATGTTTATTGCATTTATCACTCTGTAGTATTTGCATATTTATTTTCCCCAACAAATTATGAGTTACTTTAGCTTCTGGCTTATGGAGTGGTCGGGTTTTTGTCTTTGTCTCTTTGTCTCCCCAGCCCCATTGCCTAGCACCTGTTGGCTCATGTGAATTCAGTTGTCCTTAGGAGACAGTATCATTTTGGTTAATTTTTTTATAAAGTGAAATTCTGCTGGTTCATCACACAGTCTCATTTTACTTATCAGATGCTATAACTTTATACTGTGACTTTAAGTAATGGATGAAATTGTGTGTGTGTGTATGGCTTGTCTTAACTTGTATTTATATTGATGTAACATTTCTTGGAAACATATCTGAAAAGTTTCCTTTAAGATAATTATCTTTTTTACTTCTTAAGTATACATACACACACACATACACTTAATACACACTTGCTGAATAAAACTTCAAATCTAGAGAAACAATCATGGGAGCAGCAATAAACACGGCAGATCCTACTTTCCTGAGGCTTCCAGTTCAGAGAGCAAATATCTTTAAGTGAAATAATTTATAAATATATATGTGTGTGTATATATATAGATAATGTGTATGTATACATATGTTTACATTTATAAATATGTATGTATATAAACATATATATTTGTATTTATAAATATATATAAAAATATAAATTATTTCACTTAAAGATCTTTGCTCTCTGAACTGGAAGCCCCAGGAAAATGGGATCTGCCTTGTTCATTGTTGCCCAGATGACTGTTTCTCTAGATTTGAAGTTTTATTCAGCAAATGTGTATTAAGTGTCTCTGTTGTTCTAGGGATATATTAGGCTTAGTAAACCTTGCCCTAGCTTCTTTGTCTTAACTTGTATTTATATTGATGTAATAACATTTCTTGGAAATGTATCTGAAAAGTTTCCTTTAAGATAATTATCTTTTTTACTTCTTAATACTTCTTAAATTTCCTTTTGTTTTCTCCTTTTAAATCTCTTTGGTATTATAAAAATTAAAATATATTCTGTCTTAGTACTTATAATGCTAGTAGTTGAATACTAAACAGTCCTAAAGAACAGATGATATGGAAGCAGTTATGAATTATTTTTTCATAATCTCTTTAAACATCCTGTACTGAAAGATACAGGCTTAGTAAAACTGAAATAATAGGTATACAGTGGAAATTCTTCTGACTTCTTCATGGAAGTCTTCTTTAATATGTCACTTTACCCAAATTGAAAAGGAATCTATGTTTGTGTGTCCTGGAGTATCTGAGAAGCAGTACTTGAAAACAGAACAGATATATTGAATAGCAGTATAACAGCATACATCTCTTGAAAAAATCTATATATATGAAAGTTCCAAGTGACACCGTGTTAGTGAATTTTTAGTACAGTTTCATATAAACACATAAGTTGTTCTTTTAGACAGGATTTACCACTGATTTTATTGAAGTAGCTTGCTTCTTTAATGTATTTGCAAATTTATACCAGTTACATAACATACATATACTTGAGAAATAGGGTGAATTCTAGCTGGGCATGGTGGTACGTGCCTGTAATCCCAGCTACTCAGGAGGCTGAGGCAGGAGAATTGCCTGAATCCAGGAGGCGGAGGTTGCAGTGAGCCGAGATCACGCCATTGCACTCCAGCCTGGGTAACAAGAGCGAAACTCCGCCTCAAAAAAAAAAAAGAAAGAAAGAAAGAAATAGGGTGAATTCAAGTAACTTTTGAATATATAGCCTATTATTTTCACTTTTGAAAATGTGGTATTTATTATAACCGTGGCAACTAAGATTTAATAACTACTAATATATAAATGATCAAAGAAGTTGCCTTTCTGAATTAGTATCAAGGGAACTTGACTTCCATTGCCTGCTCTAAAAAGCATTTTGGTTTCTTACTACCGCTACTTAAAACTGTATTTACTGTGTACTTTACGGCTTCCTATCCACAGTAGCTTTGGTTATTTTCTGTGGCTGACAGTTTGGATCCTGAGCACCTGTATCACGGTGTAAGGTGGAGAATTATGTTTTTACTGCCCCAAACCCTTCTTAGAGTAGATGGTATTGTTTTTTCTTCCAAGGCTCTGTCACTCAAGTAGATGGTATTTTTATCAAATTATGAATTTCAACACTGTTGATTAACAGGTCCTAAATGTACAGTTTTATTCTTGAGTAAAGGTTATTTGTATTTTTTAATGGGGTTATTACCCTACCTTCCCCACACACTCAAAAAAATAAACAAACATAAAACCTAGGTGGAAACATCAAAAAGAAGTAGGATTAATTGAGATTTTTATTATTTTCTTTTCATCTGCTAAACTTTGTCCTCTAAATTCTCTGCATGAAATGTCTGTTCTTTTGTTTTGTTTTTGTTTTTGTTTTTGAGGAAATGTAGAGGCTGGGCTGTTCCTTTCTAAGCTTTTGACAGTTTGATGTAGCAGTATTACTTTTTAACCAATAGGGTTATTTTTAGAGAATATATTTGACATTATGTATCTATAATTTAAAAGGCAAAACTGGCTAGGCGCAGTGGCCCATGCCTGTAATTCCAGCACTTTAGGAGCCTGAGGCAGGCAGATCATCTGAGGTCTGGAGTTTGAGACCAGTCTGGCCAATATGGTG